CTGCTGCTGTTGCTGCTGTTGCTGCTGCTGCAGGTGTTTGAGGCTGGAACCCCCCGTCTGTCAGTGGTGGCGCGTCTGTTTTTGCTGCTGCTGCTGCTGCTGTCTGCTGATATTTTGTTTGTTGTTTTCTTCTTTCGCAATGCAAACAGTCTCTCTACTTTTTACCTCTGGCTTTTATTCGAGGTGCGCAGACACCCCACCAATTCCTGCTGCTGCTGCTGCTGCTGCTCTTGCTTGAACTCCTCTTCCTGCTGCTGCTGCTGCTGCTGCTGCTGCTCGTGCTTGGACTCCTCTTCCTGCTGCTGCTGCTGATTGTTGTCTTGCTCGGACTGCTGCTGCCGCTTTTGCTGCTGCTGCTTTTGCTGCTGCTGCTGCTGCTGCTGCTGCTGATGCTGCTGTTGCTCCTATTCGTTTTTGCTTCTCGTGATAGTTCTGCTGCTGGTGCTGTTGCTTCTGCAGCTAGCGTTGCTGCTGCTGTAGTTTATTCGGCAGCGAAAATCAGTGTGTCCTGTTGCTGCTGCTGCTGCTGCTGCTGCTGCAGTTCTTAGGAATGTTGAGTTGCAGCTGCGTCTGCGCGTTGAAATTTGCTGCGAATGTCGTTGACGTTCGTTCGGAAGGCGGTGAGGTGTCTGTACACCGCAGCAGCAGCAGCAAATCAAGCTGCTGCTGCTGCTGCTGCTGCTGCTGCTGCTGCTTGCCTTGTTGATGGTGCTCTTTAGAATAATAAGAAAGCAGCAGCAAAAAGAGGCAGCAGCAGCAACAGCAACAGCAACAGCAGCAGCAGCAGCACTCTTTGTAGATGCCCCCTGCCCGCGTTGTCAGTGCAGCTATTTTGTATCTTCTTTTGCTGCTGTTGCTCTTGCTGCTGCTGCTGATGCAGGGTGGATGACGAAGCCTGCGTTTATGTTTTATTTAGATATGGTGCACGACGTACTAAGCCTGGGCATCTTCTTAGTAAGCAGCTGTCTCCTTTTGTCTCCTTTTGTCTCTCTTTCTGTCTCCTTTTGTCCCTCTTTATGTCACCTTCTGTCTCTGTCTCCTTTTGTCTCCTCTTGCCTCTCTTTCTGTCTCCTTTTGTCTCCTTTTGTCTTTCTTCCTGTCTCTCTTTCTGTCTCTCTTTCTGTCTCCTTTTGTTTGTCTTCGTGTCTGTATCTTTCTTTGTCTCTCTTTATTTTTGTGTCTCTCTTTATTTTTCTCTGTCTCTCTTTGTCTCCTTTTGTCTCTCTTTCTGTCTCTCTTCGTCTCTCTTTGTCTTTGTTTGTCTCTCTTTGTCTCCTTTACTTCTTCTTTCTGCTTCATTTTGTCTCCTTCTGTCTCCTTTCTGGTGTATGCATTGCATGCATGTCGTTTTAATTCTAATAAATATTAACTGTCTCCTTTTGTCTCCTTTTGTCTCCTTTTGTCTCCTTTTGTCTCCTTCTGTATTCTCTCTCTCCTTTCTGTCTTCTGGTGGTTTGTTTTAAGTATGTTTTCCTAATGCTTTATCTTTATTTCTTATATATAAATATATAAATATATATATATATATTTATATATATATTTATTTAT